GGAAGCTGTTCTGAATTATTTACCTCTCTGCACAAGGCAGGATTGGAACCTGTACTCTCTCACTCTCAAGTGCCCGCTCTGTAACCCGAGGGATCACACCTCTCTCCCATCAAAAACCATCCATTAACAAATCCCTTGCAGAAACACCCAGAGGAGGGAAACAAAGGCACCCAAACAAACCAGTCCGGTTGTGAAATCGAGCCTTTCCCACACGCCCCTTGTCGGTTTTGTCATCAATTCCGCATGACAAATTGGCGGGTTGTTCTACAAAGCCGGGATTATGTTCCTGGCGGCCCCAGTCCTGGCACGTGGGCAAGTGCGCCCAGGTTGCCAGCCACACTTTGCCTCCCACACTTGGGCTGTGTGTGGCTTCCCTACATCAAAGTTCAGCAGGTACGCAGCCTGGGGGTCATTTTGGACTCATGGCTGTCCATGGAGGCGCAGGTTAATTCTGCGCCCAGGGCAGCTGTCTACCAGCTCCATTTGGTACACCAGCTGAGACCCTATCTGCCCACGCACTGTCTCGCCACGGTCGTCTATGCTCTGGTTATCTCCCACTTGGACTACTGCAAGGCGCTCTACCTGGGGCTACCCTTGAAGGGGACTCAGAAACCAGAAACCATCCAGGATGCAGCAGATAGACAGGTGACTGGGAGTAGCTGCTGGGACCATATAACACTGGCCCTAAAGCATGGGTAGGCAAACTAAGGCCCAAAGGGCCAGATCCAGCCCAATAACCTTCTAAATCCAGCCTGCGGATGGTCCGGGAATCAGCTCGTTTTCACATGAGTAGAATGGGTCCTTTTATTTAAAATGCATCTCTGGGTTATTTGTGGGGCACAGGAATTCATTCTCTCCCCGCTCCCCACAGAAAATAAATATAGTCCGGCCCCCCACAAGGTCTGAGGGACAGTGGACCCCTGCTGAACAAGTTTGCTGACCTCTGCCCTAAAGGATCTACATTGGTTCCCAGTACATTTCTGAGCACAATTCAAAGTGTTGATGCTGACCTTTAAAGCCCTAAACGGCCTTGGCCCAGTACAGTCATACCTCGGGTTGAAGTTGCTTCAGGTTGAGTGTTTTCGGGTTGCGCTCCACGGTGACCCAGAAGTAATGGAATGTGTGGACAGGAAAATTGGCTTCCAGGTGGAAAGATCTAAATTAGAAACAGAACTGTTAGAACCCAAAACTAAGAATTTGTCAAGAATGTATAACTTGCTGCTGAAATGGAATACCCAGGATGAAACGGTAAAATCGGCTATGATTAAATGGGCACAGGACATTGGACATAACATTATGTTTGCTGACTGGGAACAGTTGTGGACCACAGGTATGAAATTTACGGCATGTAATGCCTTAAGAGAGAATATTATGAAAATGATATACAGGTGGTACATAACCCCAGTCAAGCTTGCAAAAATCTATCACTTGCCCGATAATAAATGTTGGAAATGTAAAGAAACTGAAGGTACATATTTTCAACTTTGGTGGACGTGCCCAAAGATTAATGCTTTCTGGTAAATGATATATAATGAATTAAAAAAGGTATTTAAGTATACCTTCCCTAAGAAACCAGAGGCCTTTCTCCTGGGCATAGTCGGCCAAATGGTTTTAAAAAAGGATAGAACTTTCTTTATGTATGCAGCAACAGCAGCAAGAATACTCATCACAAAGTATTGGAAGACACAAGAACTTCCCACGCTGGAGGAATGGCAGATGAAACTTATGGACTATATGGAATTGGCGGAAATGACTGGTAGAATCCGTGACCAGGGAGAAGAGTCGATGGAGGAAGATTGGAAGAAATTTAAAGACTATCTTCAGAAACATTGCAAAATTAAAGAAGGTTAGAGTGATGTTGGACTGAAAATAAGCGGTTTCGTGCTGTACAGGTTAAAGTTAATGATAGACTAAGATTAAAAGATTAGGATTAAAAATGTTTAAAGAAATGGAAACTTGACATTAAGAGGGAAAATTTTAAAGTTATATGATATTAAGACTAAAGATCAGGTTTAAAGAAATTGAAGTTATATATTTCAATATTTTATTAAAGTTAAAGATTGGGATTAAAAAAGTGGAAAAGAAATTGCTGGACAAATAATATGGATCGGAATACAAAAGAGGGAGGTATGAGGAAGTCCAGAAAATAAGCAACTAAAAAACGGAAATGAAAAAGAGATATTGTTTTTAATTGTTATGTTTTTTGTATTTTTATTGTTGAATCTTGCTTTTGTTTTCTTTTTTTCGTGTTTTTGTTATATGTATTGTGTATGTTTTTCTTTCTCTTTTCTTTGTTGTTTAAAAACTTTAACAAAAATTATTAAAAAAAAAAAAAGAAGTAACAGAATGTGTTACTTATGGGTTTCACCGCCCGCGCATGCGCAGACACTCAAAACGACGTTACGTGCATGTGCAGATGCGGCAATTTGTGACCCGGGCACTCGCAGATGCGGGTTGCGTTCGCTTCAGGATGCGAACGGGGCTCTGGAACGGATCCCGTTCGTATCCAGAGGTACCACTGTATACCTGAAGGAGCGTCTCCACCCCCATCATTCAGCCTGGACACTGAGGTCCAGCTCTGAGAGTCTTCTGGTGGTTCCCTCACTGCAAGAAGTAAAATTACAGGGAACCAGGCAGAGGGCCTTCTTGATAGTAGTGTCTGCCCGGTGGAACACCCTCCCTTCAGATGTCAAGGAAAGAAAGAACTATACAAATTTTGGAAGACATCCAAACGCAGCCCTGTATTGGTTTTTGTTATTGTTATTTTAATATGTGTTGGACGCCAACCAGAGTGGCTGGGGCAACCCAGACAGAAGGGTGAGGTACAAATAATAAAATTATTATTAAGTAAGAGGATAAGCTGTATGCGTGCCAAATAGATACTGGGGATTACCAAGAAAAGAAAAGAAAAAAGGAATGTAGACTCCTTGGGGCAGAGACCTATCTTCCTGCTCTTATTCTATAATGCTCCAGATGCTGAATTGTGTTATATTGTTACATACTTCACTGGTATTATTACTGATGACTAATAATGAGAAGCAGGGTGCACATACTCTAAATCAGGGGTTTCCATATGGTGGTTCATGAACCACCAGCAGCCTGTAGGCTTCATTCAGGCAGCTGTAAAAATACAATTAAAAGTCACACAGCATTTAGCAGAGCCCATTGCAATTGCTACACCAGGCAGGGAAATCATTTAGTGGGTCTACCAAGATACTCCATTAATTTCTCTTATCCCCCTTTAAAGCCACCCAAGTTGGTGGCCACCCATGTATGCTGTGGGAGGGAGTTCCACAGTTTAACACTGTGCTGCATGAAGGAGTTTCTTTTATCCATCCTGAATCTTCCAACATTCAGCTTCATTGAATGTCAACAAATACTAGTGTTATGGGTGGTGATTTCTCTGTCCATTTTCTCCAGGCTATGCCTAATCCATCACAGAATCATAGAATTGTAGAATCGGAAGGGACCCCGGGATCATCTAGTCAAACCCCCTGCAATGCATGTCACCTCTTATTTTTCTCTGAATTAAAATATCCCAAACGCTGCAATATTTCTTCACGGGGAGCCACTCCGTCCCCTTGATAATTTTGCAGACCCTCCAAGTGTCCTATTTTCCAGGGACAGTCCCAGATTTACAGAAGCTGCTCCAGTTTCAGATTTGAACCTGGAATGTCCCACCTTTCCTTAGGACACCCCTATTTTCATCAGAGAAATATTGGAGGGTATGGAGTTATGCAACCCCATGACCCAAGGAGATAAGTAACTGTACAGTGGTACCTTGGGTTAAGTACTTGGGTTAAGTACTTAATTCGTTCCGGAGGTCCGTTCTTAACCTGAAACTGTTCTTAACCTGAAGCACCACTTTAGCTAATGGGGCCTCTTGCTGCCGCTGCTGCACGATTTCTGTTCTCATCCTGAAGCAAAGTTCTTAACCCGAGGTACTATTTCTGGGTTAGCGGAGTCTGTAACCTGAAGCGTATGTAACCTGAAGCGTATGTAACCTGAAGCGTATGTAACCCGAGGTACCACTGTACAGCCTTTAGAAGACATCTGAAAGTAGCCTGGTATCGGGAAGTTCATTTTTGGAGCGGCTGGGGCAACCCAGCCAGATGGGCAGGATATGAATAATAAAATTATTATTATGATGATGGAATGATGGAATAGGATGTCCCTGTTTTCATTGGAAAAATGTTGGAAGGTATGGTTTTGGCTGCCCTTTTCTGAACATAAGTGGGCAAAGTTGGACAATTTCATGGAGTATAAGTGTTTTAATGGCTACTAGCCAGGACTGCTCTTCTGCTCAGTTCCTGCTTATGGGTTTCTCATGCGGTGCATCTGTGAGAAGAGGATGCTGGCCCAGATGGGCCACTGGCCTGATCCTGCAGAACTTTTCTTCACTTCACAAGCAAAGAGACCCCTTCATGACCCTAAGCTATCAAGACCGGATTTGTGACATTCTTCTTGCTCTGCCCAGCAAAGACTGTTCGCTGCCAGGAAAGGTGAGTTGTTTTACCAGAACTTTATACTACTAATAGTTTAAAGGGAGAGAAAAAAAGGGGGGAACCTCTGAGTCAATGCAAGATTTCAGCATGCAAACCCAGGGCTTGTGCCAAAATAAATCATGCAGCTCTGACAAACAGCATTAATCATAAGTTAATGCCCAGGTTTGGCTGAGGCTCCTTGGCGCTGGTCGTATATCTTGCCCCAAGATTTAAATGGAGAAAAAAGAAGA